TTCACGTACAATCACGTTTGAATAATTTTATTCACGCACAATCACGTTTTTTTGTCGTAATTATTTACTTAAACAAACCGAAACACCCTGTATGATGTAAACACGTCTTTATAATATTTATTCGTCCTTACAAGTTAATCGTTTGTTTTCACTTTGCACTAATAATCACAAATTAGACCTAACTTCGCACGAACACGACTAATGTTGGCAAACAAAATAACAAAATTATAAATCCCCATTTTTTTTAATTCATTTTAGACAGGACATTTTTTAATGTAGCCGTCAAATGGTTCCGAAAAGCTAATTTTACCGCGGCGGTTTTTTTATCCACTAGCGGTAGCAATTGTAGGTAGGAAATTAAAGGAGTTTTTGATCTGCTGCCGCCTGAACCCCTGGCAGTTTAAGAAAATGCCGCTGTACAAATTTTATAAAAAAATCTATGAAAAATCTGACTTAAATATTTTCTAAAAAGACTTAAATCTTTTTCAAAAAGACTTAAATCTTTTTTTGACTTAAATCGTTTTTATCTGATTTAAGCCTTTTATTAATGACTTAAGTTTTTTCTATTTTGAAAAAAATATTTAAGTCACAAATCATTTTGAAAATTACTTAAATTTTAAGTCTTAAGACAGCAAATATAGTTCCCAGTCCTTTTTAAATGTCACTGCCCCTAAAGTATAGTTCCTAGACCCACCCTGCCACTTAAAATGTTACTCTATAAGGAATAGTCACTTTGAAGTATATTTCGAGAGTGACTGGTTAGTGCCTACCTACCATAAAAGTGGAAAATAAACACACCGATTGCAAGTGGCAAACATGTAATTTAAAGAAGTGGCTGGAACTACCTGAATATTCGAATATGACACCATAAAAGACCAAAAACTTTATAGTAACTTTTTAAAGTAGCGGTCACCAACAAGTGCTACCATAATGCCTCCATTAAGTTTTTGTTACTTTATAGTAACAATTTAAGTTACGGGGTAGTCGCGGCCACGACACCTGGTTACCTCTAATTTATAGTAGCATTGAAAGTAACAAAATGGTTACTGCGACCTTCCTAGGTCACTATAAAGTAGCCGTCGCTTATCCTTTGCCACTAAAAAGTCGCGGGGATCAAAAATGGCTACTTAATAGTGACCATAACTTAATATACCCTAATAAATGTAATTGCCTCAGATTGCATATATGTTACGCACTATAGTGTGCTGCTCTGTTTTGGTGTTTTCTTTTCTTGCTTTTAAGCTTTATTAAAATTCTGTAAAATGCTTAAGGTAAATAAAAAGAAATTTAGATATTCTAGTACTTTCTATCAAAGAATTAAACAAAAGGAATCACTGGGAGCCGAAGCATCAACATCAGAAACAAAAACTACATCTTTCTATAATCGTACTGATGAACATCATAAATCAGGTAGTGACATTTTTAAAGCTGTTTGATTCAAACAGTTTGAAGTACCTATTCACATTCAAAGTTGATGCATGTTCTGACTTCTATACCTGAGTCAAGTGTTCAAATCTCGTTCTGATCGAGATGCTGATGAATATTATTAATTCTATCTTACGTGAACGTTTTCAACTTAATAGTCTTTAAATATTTTGTAATGAATAGGAATTTAATATAAGAAATTCAAGGTGCTAAATATTTTTAATGGGTCAAGTTTATCAATACTTCCCTGAAGTATTTGCAGTCAAAGTTGATGTATGTTCTGATTTCTACACCTGAGTCAAGCGTTCAAATCTTGGGCTGATGAATGTTATTCATTCTGCCTTACTTGTAGGTATTTGGGCTATGTAAAAATGAATATTGTATGCTCTCTACTTAAGTCGTGGATTCGAAGATTAAGTGGAAGAGAACGTTTCAAGATTTAAGAGAGTAATTAATAAACCTAGAAAAAACGACACGAGACGGAAGTGACGTCATAAACGGTGTGGGTCCTGTTTTTTTATAATAATTAATTTTTTTGAAAATAAATGAATAATTTCATGTGATCATAAGAATTGCAATAACCAGTAAAACATTAGGTTTGATAATATTCAATTTGCATTTTACAAAAAATATGATTCTCGCGTCGCCAAACGGGAACTTCAAAGGACAAGCCGGAACGTTATAGTGGCACGCCGCGATCGGTGTAGCATAAACGCTGCAATTAAGTGGCAATTTAGTGGCGCAGGGAACTTTCTTGGAAAAAATCACTTTATGTTCCAAAGAATCGTGGACCATGTAGTTCCCAAAAAGTTATTGTTTCCATAAAGTCGTCTCTGGGTAGTTGCAATTGTCACTTTATCAATCCGAAGATTTTAAAGTTCCAAACGGGTAGGGTTGGCCTAATATATTATTGTTCCCGGTACTTTGTGGAAGCATATGGAACTATAAAGTATTTTTCGGATTAAACGGCCATATTTTTTTCATGACTTTTCAGACGAACAGCCAAATGGCTCAAACATTTTGCGTTTTTAAGCTAAATATACCTAAACTAAAGATTTTTTCCTTAGATATTTTGTTATTTGTGACGGTGGACTAATATTTTAAAGTTTCACGCCAGTTTTAAGCAAATTATTTTTTTTTTTTTTTATAATAATTTATTGATGACCTCAAAACAGTTTACATTACTACATGAGTTTCTATTGCAAATAATTTAATAATTTGAAATGTTTTGAAAGGCGCTCGAAAATTTTGTCATATAAACCCACTATTTTATTCAGTAAAGTCGATTGCGTTTTGGAATTGACCCACAAAAGGCGTTAAAATCGCATGGTAAATAACAAAAAAATAATAATGGCTTCCATAATTACTTTCCATCATGACATTTATTTTTATGAAGTGTGAAACTGAAGAGGTCGCTGCGAATAAAGTTTAACAGTTTAATGAAAGTTCTACATGTCGGTGGCAAAACACTAGGCTGCCACGAACCCGCGACTAGGCAGCTTCGTAACAGATAAGTCGCATTCAACGGTAGGCTACTTTATAGTGCCATATCGTAGTAACTCTTTTAGTGGCAAAAACTACCCAAGACACTACCCGGCTACTCAAAATCTTTCCCCATTTTGGTCGCAGTTACTTAGCAGCTACGAATATACAACGTAGCCGCCGATGGTCACCGCCCCCTTTGTAGTGGCTTTGATAGTGGCAGTTACGTATCTGCCACCATAAATGCTAGTTGGGTTAAGTCAGTTTTAGAGAAATGACTTATTACCAAATGACTTAAGTCATTAAAACGATTTAAATCAAAAAAACGATTTAAGTTTTCTGAGAGCTTGCAGCTCTGTAACTATCGATAGTTTTAAAATGTCAAAATTGCAATTCAGCTTTTTACCCTTCTAAGTTTGTGTCTGTTTGTTGGATAGCATCATAGAAAAAAAATAATATTTCATTATTATTAATAGTCAAGGATTTTACAAAATCCTTGATTAATAGTACCCATTGTGTAGGAAATTTCCTAAAACTAGGGAAATGTAAATGTACTTTTTAAAATAAAGATATTTTGAAATGTAATTAACGCATTTTTTATAGTTAGTTTAAATTTCCCGCCCTAGAATAAGGGTGGGGGAAATTACCGATGTTTATCGATAGTTATCGATAGTTTCTGGTAAACTAAAATTATTTTAGGCTTATATAGATAAAAAATTCCACACATACATGCGAAAATGCAAATATAAAGTTTTTTTTTGGTACATATATAGAAATGCAAAAGTTAAGGTACAAATATAAAGTTTTGTTTTGGTAAATATATAGAAATGCAAAAGTGCATGTAGGGTTTCGTTTTGGTACACATATAGATATGCAAAGATGTGGGTACAAATATAGGTAGCGTTGATTATTAGCTTTGTTTAATAAACAAGGGTATTATTTTGCAATAATGGAGGGCCCATTTCATGACATTATTTGCTCATTACTTGAAAATCCCTTTTCTCGCCTTAATGAAAACGATAGAAAAGATGATATGATTAATGATCGCCCTATTAGTATTAGAATTAGGTATATGAGGCGCCGTTTGCGTCAAAATTATTTTAGGCTTATATAGATAAAAAATTCCACACATACATGCGAAAATGCAAATATAAAGTTTTTTTTTGGTACATATATAGAAATGCAAAAGTTAAGGTACAAATATAAAGTTTTGTTTTGGTAAATATATAGAAATGCAAAAGTGCATGTAAGGTTTCGTTTTGGTACACATATAGATATGCAAAGATGTGGGTACAAATATAGGTAGCGACGCTACCGTAGCGTTGATTATTAGCTTTGTTTAATAAACAAGGGTATTATTTTGCAATAATGGAGGGCCCATTTCATGACATTATTTGCTCATTACTTGAAAATCCCTTTTCTCGCCTTAATGAAAACGATCGAAAAGATGATATGATTAATGATCGCCCTATTCCACATCTAAATCTTTTAAAACCTAATAAAAAACATGGTTCAACTTTTTCTCGATCGTTTAAAAAACAATGGTATGAGAATCATCGATGGTTATGTGGTAGTTTTTTTAAACAGAGTTTGTTTTGTTGGCCGTCGCCTACCCCAGCGCGGAAGGCACGAGCCGCCACTGTTACCTAGGTATGACAGCTGTCATTTCGAGACTTACTATTCACCTCACCACAGTTAATAAAAAATTATACAAGGTATGCCCATAGGAGAAGTGAAGTGAAGGTATGTACAGAAAGTAGTTAACAGAAATGTTTGTTTTGCTAGGATTGTACAATTTGTACACTTACGACTACAAATTAATTTGAATATGCATTTTAGAAATGTTTAGCCAGTCTCTGTGTTTACCTAGCATTACTTTTTTTGCACACCTCGTATTAGACGTGAATAACGTCACGTGATACACATTAGTTGTTTAGGTAATTTTTTTCACATTTATATTAATATTCCAAACACTTAATAATAAAATAACTAATATTAACTAAAAATGCATGCTTTACTTTATTTAAACGGGCCAATATGGGCATGAAAAAATATGCTCAATCACTCTTTCAAATCTAAATCGATCAACTTACAATTTAGTGATCCCGGCCCTTCTTACGGCGCTACTGATAACTTTAACAGCCGTTTGTATGGAGTTGAGAAGTTGTGTCAAGTCGCCGGTGGCCGTTGGCACCTTCTTTTGTTCGTTAAGAACAAATCTAGTGAGCGTAATGCAATTCGAGTCGATTGCTTGGCTTCCCATGATGCTTCGAATTCGAGCTGAACGACAGTCGTACAACGACAACTGCCAGACTAGAAAGTGACGGTAAAAATAAATAAACAAAAATTCAACCTTTGGAACCGTGTATGGGAGCAGCTCGTGACACCCAAACACGAGAGATCTAAACTCGATGGGTCTAAAATTTAAAAGCGCGGTGGGTCTAAAATGTGTGGCAACGTCGCACTTCAAATAAGGTTTGGTTCACATTTTTCTTAAATGAAATGTAAATTTTCGGTCGGTTTAGACCTCACGAGTTGCTCCCCTCTGATCAGGGTTGGGTATCTACCTACATTTTTGTTTTCGACATGTAGAAAACCTTTTTCGACGTTTTCGACGGTAGAAAACGTAAAAAAGTAGAATACTGTCAAATATCAAAAAATGTGAGGTTATGCAAGTTTGTTGTTTATTATGATTTGTTAAATGTTGTGAAAAATCAGACACCTACCATAAATTTGAAGTTATTTGGAGTTTTATAACATTATTATGGTGGGAAAAAAAGGGCCACGTTTGGTTGGGAGACCCCAACATAATTTTTGGCATGAGGGCAAATTTTTATCAATTATAGAGAAGTGGAAGGAGAAGATCGAATAAGGTAATTAACGTAGGTAGAATATAGGTTTTCGACGCAAGTCGAAAACAAGTTTTCTACCCTTTTCTACCAAGGTAAATTACCTAAGGTTTTCTACTGACCCAACCCTGCCTCTGATATACCCATAACCAACAAAATTTACAAAGTTACTGGTGCCATCATAAAGGTACATTGATAATATCAATTTGATATTGTTATTTATATACCAAAAAGCTTTATAACAATAACAAATGATCATAGATATATGTATGCAAGTGATGTATTCTTATTCTATGGTTGACTTCTAAGGAGTGATTTTGACAGTTTAAAAATATATTCAGAGATGAAAGCAGTAACAGTTGGTCAGTTTAGGATTGGTTTGTGACATGGCCATGAAATGGTTCTTCAGGGCAACACTAATACATGTCAGCGTCGTCAACCCGTCCTTTTGAAACATTCTAAATTTAGAAATAATATAATTAATATATTAGATGACCTTTTTAAAATTAATTTGACGAGTAAGCATTTAATATGTATTTTAAATATGTGGATACCTAACTAATATTGTATGTTTTCAGTACTTCCAGAGGATGCCGAAAGTCAAAACTGGTTGAGATAATTAATAAATAAAAATATCCATGTGGCCAAAAGCAAAAAATTCACGTGGCCTAATTGTTGGAACCAGTATATCATCAGTTTATCCCACCTATAGTGAGTGAGAGAAAGGGGAGAAACATACAAGAAGGATAGTAAAGTATAGTATGTGACACAGGTGTGAAACAGAATCGGCAAAACTGGAAACATGACCCCTAATGGATAGTTGTGTGCCATTGGGTCCTGTTTGGCTTTAAGAACTTTTTAAGGAGCCTTATTGATATATGTAAAATAGTTTTAAAATGTAAGTATTATGTTTTAAATTCAAAACTTGTTGGCTTTTTAGCAAACCTTGGTTTTTCATTACTTAGGTTGAGTTGGTTCATAAAAAAGAATAATTTGGTTATTAGGCCTTGTGACAATACAAATTAAGCAAAAAAAAATGCAAAATGCACACTAGTTATAAACTTGTTAGTGTTCTAAAATATATTTGTAAAAACTTATAATTTATATTTCAAATGTTAAATCTTATAAATTTGTTAGCCTAAACATTAGTTTGTAACCAAGGTTTACTATAATTATTATAGTCAATAATTCTCTTTTGGATGCATTTTGCTACATAATAGCCCCATAAATTTTTTTGAAAAACGTGTTTTTAAATATATTTAGATACCTATGTAAAAGAGAAAAATTCAACCAAAAAGAATGCAACCTCGAATGTAAATGGTCCAGACCATTTAAAAAAATTAATCTTTTTTAATGTTTAAGGTTACTTCTTTTAAAAGCTAGAATTTTTTAAATTTAAATTTCATCAGTGTTAATGTCTGTTATATTATTGTTTTACTAAAAATTGCCCAATATATTTTTGCTTTAAATTTTATGCTTGTTAATTAAATTATTTTTAAAAGGAGTTGGAAAATGGAAGCCATGGGACACCAACCTGAGAGCATAAACCTTAATTACACAAATGCAACACAACCTACAAGTTTGAATCTATTGTACACCAACTGGAGGACATAAACCCTACTTACGTGAAATTCAATGCAAGAAAGTAGACATTCTTGCAAGATGCAGTTCTACTGCACTAGTTGCATATTTTATCCAATACTATAAACTATAATGAATCTTTGCCATTGAATACACTAAATTCAATAGTGATACTTTCACATGTAACATTTTTGTACTGCATTTTGTAATATCTTAAAGTCAAATGCATAGGTATCATGATACCTATGCATATTCTTATTTTTGTAAAGAAATATTAATGTCATATTAAAAAAAATACCAAACAGTTAGGTAGGTATAGGTACTTTATTATTAGTTTATTTTTGTAAAAGTAACTTTTTATTATTAAATTTGTAAGGTTTAAACCTACAATTGTATTTTTACTCTTCAAGGAAACGACCTTTAATAATTGTTTATTGATTTATTTTCAGTTTAAAATCGTTATAAAATCCGTAGTATCCAAATAATTTTTAAATAAACAAATCATGCGTCATTTTTGTTATGATTCATATGTCACGTGACGTGTTGACTTCTCAGAAGTTCTGTCAAAATATTTTGCTTTTTGTTTGTAATGGTGGAGTTGTGTTTTTCTTCTAATCTGCGGTTTCAAAAAATTACTTATTTTAGAAAGATGGTCACTTTAACATATGTATACCCAGTTTTTAAGTTTGACACACATTGCAAACAAAGGGATTATTTATAATTTATTATCTATGATTATTATTCATTATCTATGATTACTTCGTTGCAAAACCGGAGATTTATTCGATTGCCATTTTCATAAAATAAATACAAAATGTTATACCATTGAGTTACTCAATGGTTATACCCTAAGACCCTGTCTTACTCTATGGTCTTAGGTTATACCTTAATCGGTCTTCAATCTTAGAATTTGAATTTAAATTAATGATTTCTGTACCAACTTTAATAGATATGGTATAGATGGCTCCACAATAATTTAAAAACATATACTTGTGTGGTAAGTATATGTTTAAAAACATATACTTACCACACGGTGGTAAGTATATGTTTAAAAATATACGTGTACGACTGGTCATATAATGTCTATAAAGTAAAACATTTTTACTAAAAATGTATTAAAAAAACATCAAGCGGAGCGTACAAAAATGGGACCAAAAGGTCCTAAAGGGTTAAATAAAATATTTACAGACTCTGTAATACAGAGTATACCTGTGTAAAATGAAAAAGTATATAGGGTTGTTGGTACACTGAGAAAAAAATGGGACAAATAAGCTGTGTAGCTAATACTTTTATTAATAGTGAATATATTGTTTATTACCTCTAAATAGTCGAATAATAACGATAAATATACTTTAGTAAAACTTTATGTGTCGGGAATAAAAATATATTTAGGATAAATAAACTGCAGGGTACATGTACCTACCCTTGTCCCATATTTAAATATTTTTTTATTTGATAGCAATAAACTTTTTTCTCAGTGTATTGTCCCAAGGAAAACCAACCTTAAGGTTTAAAGTTTTCATTTTAACCCTGAATTTCGGGACTACAATGTAAACTTTAAAACTATATATGACCCAACCCAACACATGTGTTTTAAAGTTGAAGGGGAGTCTCTTAGACTCCATGTCCATCCCATCAGGATGTTTCTAGGATAACTTGGGATGAACCTCATACATTCTGGGAACATCCTTAGGTCGTTTTTAGTATGTTATATTTTATATTCCTAAATGACTTTTAGAAAGGTTTGAAATAAATCGAAAATTTTCAAAATAAGTTTTATTTTGAAAGGACACAGTTTATGGAGACAAACAGGCACCAATACCATTACTACTTAAAGCTTGCAGCACGTTATTTCTTAACGAATACAATACTGTAACTGTAATAATGTTTAAATACTTAAAACATATTTAATTTAAAGTAAAAAACTGAAATACTGTAAATACTCAGTAAATATAAAATAATATAAATAAATAATATAAAAGGAAACAAATAAGCACCCCAAAGACCTTTAAGGAACCAAATACCCCAGCTACATAAAATTCTAAAAGTATAATGAAAAAAACATACACATACATACATAATAATATTATATACCTATAGCTAAAATTAAACATTTAATTCAATTTTTTTTATTTCTCCTCTTAACCTTCTTTCTTTTGCCCTTCTTAACCAATCTCCAATTCGTTGCTCAGCCTCTTTGTAATTAATTGAATGCTCATATTTCTGTGCACATTCTGAAATAAAAATTATATTGTTAAGAAAAAGTTTCCAGGTAACTACCAACATAGAAATACGACCCACTCAGCTGCGGGTTCGATGCTTCTATAGTTTGATAAAAAAAATTGGAAATATTCTTTTATTTTAAGTGGGGTAAAAAAATATAAAAAAAATCTGCAAAATCAAAAGGGGTTGGGTTTAAAAGTCTATTTTTATTTACCGACTATCGGTTTGCCTAATGATAAGCTTCCAAACATAGTTTTTCCTTTTTTCCCTAAGAAGGAGAACCGTTCAGCTAGACTATCTGTAATTATGGGTGCGAGACATCGTCTTATAAATTCCAAGTTGTGAAAAAACTGAACCTATAAATCAGAATAAGAAACTATACTCACTAATGTAACTATATGAAAATTCTACGATAATAGATAAAAAAGAAATTACCAATGCTGAATAATTTTCAGAATCTGAAAGGAAGTTTTCAAAAACTTCCTTACGATATTCTGCTCCACATTTTCCCACTTTGGAATTAATTTCTAACAACAGTGTCTGTATATAATATATATTATATAACAGTTGTGGATTGCAACAACAACTAGTACCTGTTTTGAATGTTTCTCCTAAAATGCATTCATTAGGTACACTAACAGTTTTAAGAACAGCTCAGAAAACTTACCTATATTGTTCTTGGCC